CTTTAATTTCTTGAGACCTTTTGGAACTTGGTATCTTTCTGTTAAAGAAGACAGTTGTTGATACTGAACCCATACGTGTACTGCCACGTGTTTGACATTCTACCTATCAGTTGGCCTACAAAACTGAAAAATAAATGAGCCTTAACAGAGCCAACGTGAAGCACCAGATATGTGAAACGGTGCTTTTAAATTGAAATGCTGAGCATATAAAATCTTTTACCTTCTGCATATATCTTCCATTAGCGTAGAGCAGTTGCAAGTCTGTTAAAAGGACTAGAAGCTGTAAACATTTCAACACTGGAACGTAACAAATAAGACTGACTTCGGATCTTAGTTTTAAATTCTGGCAGTGAAGGTAGATGTTCATCGTATGCTATAAGCATGTAAAAATATATCGTACGTTTGAATATTTGGCTTTTGGGGTTTTTTTGCCTTGATGAATCTAAGATTAAGTAGGGCTTCTCTGCTAAGAGTGGGGAGGTAGTATGTGCCATGTTCTCTTTGAGGCACACACACTTTTGGGCCCGTCTCCAGCCCCTAGAACTGCTTTTTCATACCCCAGAGACTTATAAAATTTAAAGAATTTTGATAACTTAATCCCAGAGTTGTTGCACAAATATTTGAATATTTGGCAATGTGTTTTTTGAAGAATATTGCCTTCTTCCATTTACATCTTGTTAGCCAGTTAAGCAGTTTTGAAGCGTGCTGAATTTCAGAAGCGACTTCAGTGGAGATGTTTATTATAGAAAAAACTTAATTAGACATCTAATTAAGGATTTGGGAACATGATTTTGGCCCTGTCCCTTTAGTAGATCTCTTCATATGGATGACTTTTTAGTTTTCAGTTTACAGGAGGCTTTTTAAACTTCCAATTTATAATGTTGATTTTTTTTTTTCCCTTAATAATAAATAATAGGTCGAAAGAGATTATGGATGCTAATTCTCAAGTGTGTTTCCATTTTGAAGCATTTGGACAGTTTGAATAGAAGACCCTGATTGTCTTTCAGATAGATTTGTGCTGTGGTTACCTTCTGTGGTTTTTGCATTTGTCCAGGCAGCCACGCTAGTTACATTTTTGGGGGGAATTTTTTTGGGGGTGTGGGGAAATCCCCTTGTGCTTGGATCATAGCGATAAGAATGTGTAAATTCGTAATCGCCATTGTAGTTGCATCTTATTTTGTTTTCTGAGCAACCTAGATGAGAGTACGACAAAGACCATCAGATGCGTTGCCCCTGAATTTGACAGCTATGGTTTTTTGGTTTTTTTAATGATATTTGTGTGACAGGTTTTTCTACTTGTACATAACATTATTTTAGGAAACTTTAATGGATTGTTCCATTAAAAGCATATAAATACTTATAGCTGTGGCCTACATTGATTCTAAACATAAGAAACGTTTGCGCTGGTAATGAATGTTGACCAGAACTTATCACCACAAATAGCTGTGTGCTTAAAGCTTCTGTGTAGGACATGTGCAGCTTAGTGTCATGGCTGTTGCTTTCAGTGCTCTTCTAGCTCCAAAACTCTAGACCTATAAGCTATTGCTCTTTGTTAGCTTTTGGAGGTCCTGTTTTACAATATGTAACCTTCTGTGCAGGTGTTTGATTTTGCAGTTACGTAGGAGAACTGAAACTGCTGTGGAGAACGCTTGAGAAATGTATGAACGTTGTATATACAGTACTTAAAGCCTTATCTCTCGGTGTCAGAAAACCCCATCTATTTTAGTACGAATTAGTGTGTTTCAGGAGGAAAAAAATATCTAATGCTAAATGACACTGTGTCTGTATAGCAAGTTTCCTCTCGGTTGATTCATAAATTCATTTGATTGGCTTGCCTATCAAGTGAAATGTGCTTAATGGAGGAGTAGTAGTTTTAACCTCTTCTTTTTGCTGTCTGCACAATTTCTAAATGAATAAATGCAATGAAGATTGTAAAAACGTTAACCTTTCTTCATTCTTAAAGTAAAATAATGGAAAAGGATGTAAAAACCCTATTGTTTTCATGCTAATGCCTGAAATTCAGAACTTCTCACTCCGAGCTAGAAAAACTGTCTTAAAGTAAGTACGTTACATTGAAAGTCCTTTTCCTTCCCTCCCCCCCAGTGTTTTGCCAATACATCTGAAAAATGTGTAGTTTGATTAATAAAACATCATGACAAGATTATGTTAGTTTATAGAAAGTAATTGGTAAAGAAACTGGCTTTGTTTCTTGTAGATGCTTATGTGAATAGCTATTTAGTAACAGCGAGTTTTCCCTTTTTCTTTAGTTATGCAAGTGTTCATTATCCACTAATTTTGAGGTAGGCGGGCACGTCTACCTGTTCATTAATGCGCCTTAGATGCTGTGCATTTAGTGTAGTACTTCCTTAATAAAGTACTAACTAAATGTGCAGTACCTAGAGTTACTGCACGGTAGCACTGGCACACAGTTATTTAGTGACACTTACTGTGCAGTAGCCTATTAGCACGGTTGTTGCCGTGACACGCTACTGTGCAGTGTTGTTAGGCTAATGTGCAGTAAGCATCTTGTGTAAATATGCCCAGCTATTATTTTTCATGATCATGAAAATGGATTTCTAGTATTTCAGTGCAGTAACGACTCATTCTTAACTGATCCATGTGTGCGCAAAACTTGTGATCACATCAGTCTAAATTTTTAGAATTTTTATTACGTTTTAATCCTAGTAACTGAGTAGCATTAACTTCTTCTAAAATACACCAAATAGTTTTTCCAGATAACTAACTACCCCATAAATAGTTTGAGAGAATAAAATCCAAATGTAGTCTAAAACCTAAGGATTTGTTGCTGTGTGGCTCAAAACGAAAATGCTCTCTTATGATAAAAGAGAACTACGTTGTCGGTACAGAGTTAAATCCATCAGTTCAGTAAGGACTGCAAGTGGAAATTCATGCTCTTGTACCTTATTTTATACCTTAATTCTTGGTAGTGATTTTTTTTTCCTAATCTGATCTGTACTCCACTCGCCAGGATTCCCCCATGAAGTTGTTACAAAAAGCACAGAAAACGGGTTCAATCGGAGAAGTGAACATTTCGAGAAAAGCCATCCCTCTTAAACTGTCTTTTCATGAAAAGGTGCGGTTGGTTCGTGGTTTAGCAGGAAGCTGAAATGATCTTCCAGCAGTCACTGTAGTCAATGGTGGAAGAGTTGCTCTTAGATTCTGGTTAGGAGATTTGGAAAAGGTGGCAAAGTGTCTAAACTCACTTCAGTGTCCAAGGGGATTAAGCGGGGTGGGGATGCTACTGTGAAGTTCTCACCAACCCATCTTCTGTATTGCTCACTTAAGAACCAAATCAAATTAAGCCTCCATTTTATGACAGAATGATACTCTAATGACCTGAAGATGCTGACATGCAGACAGGGGGTACTGAAACAAGAGTTTTTTCATAAACATCAGGACTGGAAGGGACCTTGTAAGATCCTCAGGTCCAGCCCCCTGCCCCAGGGGCAGGAAGCAGCTAGGGTCAAAGGATCCCAGCAAGATAAGTATCCAATGTTTCTTAAGTGTCCTTTGACCCTAGCTGACTCCTTTTAAGTACTACGCAGAGACAAGACTATAAGGTGCATCAGCAATGCAGGGATCTGAAAAGGCAATGAAGCCCCAAAAGAGCAGATGTGTACGTTACCACGAGTGTGTTTTCCAATTTGCATATACAGCTAGGAAGAGAGGAATGAATTAGTTTAGTTTTTCATTTTGCATCAAAATGTTTATCTGTTTCTCCTGCTGATTTTTCACTTTTTAAATACAGCTGGATATATTTACCTCTTTTTAATTGAATTTCAGTCCTTTAGAACAAGATTTATTTTGTACTGGGATTGCAATTCACTTAAAATCATTAGTGTGTTAAATGCAGTGCATTTTTGAGCTAGAAGCTTGTCCTGGAAATCATTCACCAAGGCTTACGCTTTTGAATATTTAGTTCCAGTTCACTTTAGAAAGCTTACAGTGACGGGCTGTTTCGTAAAATCACAGACTGACCCTTAAATTTTACAGCGAGTCAATATTTACATCCTCAAGTCGTAAACCACGTACAACCTGGTGAAATCCCTTTTAAGATGTCATGTAGCTTTAGAATTTTTGTGGGATTTAAAATCAAGAGTTTATTTTTTGTTTCTGAACTTGAGAAAGCGTACGGCAGTATGACAAAGGACTTAAATTCTGTACATTAAGCAAGCAGTAGTATATTTGTGTTAAGTTGACTTGTGTGTATTTTAGTGCTGACTTTCACAGGGCTCGAAGTTCTTAGTATCAGGGGATTCTGAAAGTGCAATAAAATACCAGAACAAAATGGCCTTTACAGAGTTTGGAGGCCAGTTCTTTGCACTGACTGGTTATATGCTACTATGGAAGTAGTACTGTGAAAATATTTTTTACCAAATTTGAATTTTTCTTACTGGCCTTTTCTTTTTGGCAAAGTTGAATTGACCATTCAAAGCGCTCTCGCATTCTGGAAAGAGCATTTTTATTTTGGAAATACCTTCATACATATGTAATTTCTAGCCCTGTGACAGCACCCAAAATCTCTTGATTTTCTGTGTCTTGAATTTTGTTTCTTAAAGGGGTTGTGTTTTATACTACCTTTTTAATAAACAAATTGATGAAGAAACCGCTCAGCCTTTTTGATCAATATTTGAGAGATTGTAGTTAATCTAAATCTCCATTTATTTTGTAATTTTATAAGATGCTACGAAATGAATATAATATCTTGTGCTTACACTGTAATTTTAATGAATACGTGTAAATATGTGTTAACACCCATGCACTAGTACTTCATTACCAACATGTCTGGTAATTTCACTTCCGACAGCCTGATTAAACCCAAATGACATTGCACCTTGCTATATTGCAACTTCTGTTGGGTAACTCATGAAGGTGATGGGTCAGAAAGAAAGTCCCAAGAACAGAGAAGAAGGTTAATAATCCAGGATAGTCTGCTTGGGGAGACTGAACCCATTTCTCTCATCTACAAGGCGAGTGGCATGCTACCTGCGTATCTTGAAGCGGGTTAGTCTTAGTTTCTTCTGCTGAAGCTTTTCTGTTTTACGTAAAATAATTCTTGAGACAACAAGAGGAAAAGAGATCTATTCCTGTGGTTTGATGCTGCACCTGTGAACGTTGATCCAAAGGGATATGCTGTCAATAGGAAAAGGATTGAGTGTCCTATAGCTTGGTAGTGAAGAACTGGCTCTTGACAGCAGTGGAGAGAACTGAACTGCTCCTGCACACGCAGGGTGATTGGTAAGAGGGGTTGGCCCATGTTGCTGGCAGTTCATAGAAACAGTCTCTGGGAGTAGGTTCACGGTCAAAGTGCTGGTATTTGGTGAGGTTGATCCAAGTGCAGGAATAGTTTGGGGATGACAAACAGGTTTTTGGCTGCGTTACCTTGTTATCGGGGGGTGGAAAACGTGCTGTAACTAAAGCCAACAGAAGCTTTTTGTTGTATCCACATGTATGTCCCTAGTCATCGTCATGGGCTCAGAAAGGCAGGAGGGGTGGGATGAGATGAGAAAAGACAGCAAAAGGTTGCTGTCGATGGAGAACATCCACCTTTTCTGCTTAAAAGAATGCTGAATACGCTATTACTTCATTTCAAATGCAAGCATACCTGACCTGTAGGAAAATAATGATTTTAAAGAACAAAACAACACCTAGTCATGTACCCATCTGGGTTCTTTGCCATGTTTTTGACTCTGAAGCATTGGCAGGCAGACACCGTCTCCTTGTGTGTACAGTGTCACCAAAACCTATTTAAAATCCTATTTTCCTCATTCCTGAAACCTCCTAACCTGGTTGACTCGTCGGAGTACATTTCATGCATTCCTAGGAGCTGGGCTGCAGGAAACGCCTAGTTCAGTCGCAGCTAGAGGCTAGAGAGCAGTAGGGAGTTCATGAACACTCCCTGCCTCCTCCCACCATCGCTGCAGACAGCACGCATCCACGCAGCGAGAGAACCGCAGGCTCCCTGGACACGGCTGCCGGACTGTCCAGCATGAGGACAGCCTTCACCAGAGGCACTCAATGGAAGGCACTAAGTGAAGGTAAGACTCCCCCCCGGTTGCCCGGACGTGTACAGTACCTGTTCCACCCCCAAAAGCCTTTCCTAACAGCAAGGCTTTTTTACTGAGCTGTTTTTGCGTGTCGCTTGGGAAAGGGGAACTTTTTTCCAGACGGTGCTTGAGCAGCAGTGTGTAAAGGACAAGATGACAGCACTAGACATCACGTTTTGTTGAGAGCCGGTTCGCAGTGCTGCTGGGAGCTACGGCTTAGTTAACCACTCAGGTTCCCGGGGCTTTGCTGCCCAGAGAAGCTATGTCTTTCACAGTAACCTGTACCATTTCCCATTATTAATCGAGCTTTGTTTAAAGCTGTAAAGCCTATTGGGTTTCAATAGGGCCTTTTTAAAAATCCTCCATTTAGCTTAAATCTTAACCTGTTTATACTGTTTCAACCTGACTCGGTCCTTCCTTTCCTTCTAAATGCATCTTGACAGCAATATGTGGCAGGCAGGAACTCTAGTGGCTCCACCTGCCCTGCTGGCAGTGCAGACAGCATCTTGCCATCCTCCCGAGAGGAAAGAGTAGGAAATTAAAGTGACACGCGACAGACAGTTCCCAATTTCATCCCTACTCCCCATGCTCTCCTCATCCCCCAGTCCCTGTCTGCATGATTCATCCTAAGGGACCAGGTAGGTGGCCTCACTTATTTCTCTCTGATGGCTGGGGCTATGTTGTCCCAAGTTGCCTTTGGAAAAGCACCTGGATCCTGGACTAAGCATATGTAGAAACCTAGATAGGTACTGATTGTTGTTTTCGTTCTATACAAATTGTTGTATAATCTGCCTAATGTTTAACTACCAGCCCTTTCACATGATAGAGGCATGACAGTTGCTTGCACCCACACACAACAAACATGCCCCAAAATTCTTGCCCAAGAAGCAGATTGCTTCAAGTCGAGTACAGTTAACCAGGGTGGAATAGGGACGCGATCAGGGCTTTGCGGTGAGGAAGAGAGAACTGGTCCTTCAGGCCAGAGACTGCTTTAAAAAAAAAAAAAAAAGACGCATAGCGTGTGGATCTTCATGGTAGGAAGCGCTTTCTGCCGAGCCCGTACGCTGCTTCGCCTTTGCTGAACTCCCTTCTTTCGGGCTGGAATTTTCCATGCCACTTGCCCGTTTCCTCCTGAGCCATGTAGGAAAGCCTTGAGCTTGCTGCTTCAATCGCTTCCGAGAATGAGACGAGGGAGAAATACTCAGTTGTACTGCTGTTTGAAAACAAGTCATACAGCTGCTTCTCTTTGAAGCTGTAACATGTCTCTGCTTGGCTGCAATGACTTGAAATTTGGCCATTGCTGTCAGGAATGTGTCTTTTGCTCTTCCTGTGAAAATGTTGGCCTACTTTTCGCAGGGGGGACCCCCTCTGTTTGCGAATGCTTACTTGGGATGTACTAGTTTGCTGGGTAAATTCTTGGAAGATTGTGCTGTGTGTGCTGTCCCGACCTTCACCCCTTTCCCATCTTCCCAGCTGCTCTGTGCATGGGCCATTCCCTGGAATATGATCCATCCCGAGTCGGTAGGGGCTGAGCAAGGCCTTCCCTTGGTACCGTCCAGGGACAGTTGCGACATGCTGCATGCAGTCACCAGGAGGAGGGAAATAGTCACTCCTGGACTTTCAATGCCCTCTACTGGTGCACCAGGTGGAAAGGAGAGGAAAGCACCTGATGCAAATGCAGAGAGGCCACGAGCTGGTTGGGGAGAGGCTGCAATGAGCTTGGTGGCGGACGCTGGGACTGGCTGGTCAAGGCGACCAGCAGTCCAGGTACACGACAGGAGAAACAGAGATGAGGCAGTTGTGGGAGGTAGGGTGTGTGCGCGCACACAGGGGCAGGAGAGCAAGGAACTGAGATGGGATGAGGAACCAGAGGAAGATGTGAAAAGGGAAGAAAAGTCTGTGGAAGAAGGAGGGAGACCAAGTTTATATGATGGGCTCCGAGGTGGAGACTGGGACTAAGACTAAGCATGGAGAGGAGGAGGAGGAGAAGGGATGAGCCAATGTGGGGAAAGAGGCGCAGAAGAATCGCATGCTGACCCTTTTTTCCCTTCAAAAGGTCTTCAAACATACATCTACACGCGAGAGCCCCAATCAGACAGCCCGAACAGTTCTGATTACTGGATCCCGAAATAAACACTTGACGAGGCAATCGTTACAGTGGTGCATTTGATTTCCAAAGCCCCCATTATACAGTGTGTTCGGAGAGGTGAACTGGCAGGCACCTGCCAACCATAGCTAAAGCCAGTCGGGTCATCACCAACACAGCAGACACTTAACTAACAGAAAACGAGTGGAGCATCCCACCCAACAAACAGCTTGTGCCCGTTCAAAGTAAAAGCAAGGCGCATTCATAACTCAGTGGCTTCTGCCATCGTGCCTGACACCAGCCAGGCACAGCCATTGCCTTGCTGTGAGCAGTGTTTGACTAGCGCTATTTTAATCAGTCTAGTGACTGCTATGGACTCTTTACCTGGGTATGGTAATGCCAATGAGACCACTCGATGCCTTTGACAGTTTAGCAGCATCTGTAAAGTTCTTGGTCACCCCCCAGTCAGGCGATTGCCACAGAAAGTGTCTGGGCTGCTGAATCACAGGTGGGTGTGAACGGGTGGGGAGCAGGTGCTAGCCCAGAGGACACTTCAGCACCATTTTTGCCAGGTTGGACAGACAGGGACCACCTTGGGGGGCTCCCAGTGCCAGAAGGCAGAGGATCCCAGCCCATGTTTTGGATGACAATGCACGGCACATGGAGCCTAGGCCTAGTGCTGTTTTAAAAAGAACCACCCAGATTGGCAATGGAGTCCCGTCGAAAGGTAAATCCTGCACATGCGTGATGTATCTGCTGTATGTGACATACCTCCATCCCTCTACCTGCCATGTACCCTCTTCACCTGGGGACTCTCTTCGCCAGGAGCCTGCCCCAGGGGGAAAAGCTGTGACCAGCCTGGCTAACCAGCTTCATCCAGCCCCTACACAGTTACTTTCCCCACTGTGCACTGCCCTAATCGGAGCAAGCAGCTTTCCATATCTATGCACAGGTAAACTGGTAGAGTCCCACTGCCTTCGGCTGGAAGAGGATTATGCCCACGCTTGCAGAGCCATTCAGGTTAAAGAAATGCTCCTCTTACCTTGTTCTCTTGTCCACAGGCACGAATTATCACTGAGGATGGAAGAAACCAGGGAAAATGCTGCCAATCTGAGCCAAAGCAAACAGCCTGTGAAAACAGAATGGGGGTCGCAGTGTGTTGTATTTACTTACTTCCATGGGGACATCAACAGTGTGGTCGACGAACACTTCTCGAGAGCTTTGAGCAATGTCAAGAGCCCGCAAGACCTAAGCACGAAGCACAAAGACCTAAGAAAAGGTGAGTGGCTTCCCATGAAGCTGTGCAATTGCTAAACAAGTTTGCACTTCGTGGACCAGACTCTCTCTCATACTTCTCTTCCTGTGCGTAAACAGGCTTTTATACTTGTAAGGTCCCAGTCACAGACTTGTACTTTCCTGGGCAAGCACTAATGCCTACCTGTGTGGGGGCCTGCTGGATTTCTGTGGGCCTGGCTAAAGGATCAAGGTCCTTTTTTTAGGAGTCAAGGAAGTTTCCATTCTTCTCAAATGGGACAGATTTGACAGGGACTCAGTTTGTTATTAAAAAATAAATAAAAAGCTCATCTAATTTCACAACATGCTTTACATTCTTATTTGCAACTAGCTCCCACTGCCCTGCAAAATGCCTGACATTCGTATTCAAGTACATGTGGTGGGGACTTAGCCTGTTTTCAGATGGATTCACTGCTACTTTTTAAAAAAGTAACAGCATCCAAGTGAATAACCTGTTTTCTAAAAGGTCTCAGAATTTCCTTCAATGCAATCGGAGCCAAACCCTGCAGCCCTTTCCTCAAATATTCCCTGGAAAGTAATTTGGAATTTGCCTTGGAAAAGAGGTAAGATGTCCACACTCTTCTCTCTTTCTCTCACCTAGATAGCATGTCTCCCCAGCCCTGGAATTTCTCTTCTCACTGGACCAAGCCATATCAGTCCTCTCCTGCTACAAACGTGTCTCCTTCTGGTCTGAATTTGTCTGCTGCTGCCGTGCAAGCCGACTACCAGCCGCCCGTTCTGCAGAGTCATCCGACTCAGCCTGCAGACTTATGGCACTTTCCTGCTATAGGCAATCCAGGCCTCGTGAGCTCGGGACATCACCACTCCTTTCCTGACTTGCATGTGATGCAAGCACCAACCTCTGGTGGGAAATATGGTTCTCTCCTTGGTCTCCTGCAACAGGAAAGGTGTCCAGCACCTAGGCAGGACCCTGTCATGAAGCAAGACTCCAGCCCTGCCTGTATGGCTGGATCTGCCAGGTTACCAAACACGAGTCAAAGTTTAACTCCTGGGGAAGGTAAGGAAATATTTACTGCCACTTCTGCCCTGATGATTCCCCTGCCTGGGAAAGATAGACTGTGCCTCAAGGTGACAAAAGCAGGCTTGTTTGGCTTCATCCCTCTAGCTCAAAGCCTTGGGCTGAAAGTGTTTCCAACAGGCCATCAATCGTATGTGGGACTTGGGAATTTTGGGCAATGCAGTGTGGACAGAAAAATCCATCCTGTGCACTGCCTTGCACGGCTCCTTACTGCTGGTGTTACAAAAGGTCGATGGCAAATATTTAGCGTAAACTATAACCTGTTTGGGGCACTGCTAGAAATAACCAAGTGCTCCACAGAGCCCTTCCTGCCAGTGGCTTTCAAACCAGGTGAGGAGCCGCCCCAAGCGCAGATGGAAGATGATGACAAAGGGGTGGAATGTCGAGAGATCGTCTGAGCAACCCGGCCGTTGCGCAGGGCCTTAATTATACTCTGAATATAGTAACAGAAACCACAGCACCCATGAAAAACACGTCCACGCACCTCGAGGTTTATTTCCCTCCCCTGGCCATGCCCGTCTCCCAGCCAGGCCTGGGGTTCCACAGAATGAGTCTGTCCTTTGTTCCCCATGTTAACGCTTTAAATCTGCAATGATCTATACAGCACACTCTTTAGGGAGAGCAGTTTGCACGGAGCTTGTGACAGCTTCCAGCACACCCAGCCACCGGGCAAACCTGGTCCTCGTTTCATCACTGTTTGTAATGCCTGTGGGCTGGGCCCACAGTGAAGACGGGGGTCCTCTACCCCAGGGAGTTTGCAGTCCAGGTGGCAACTAAACTGAATCACCCACTGAGCCAGATCTAAGGAGCTCAGCCTGCTTCACAGGGACCCGCATCAGCACAGCTGTGCCTAGCTGGCACCACTGTCTAAACATACCCAGGACTGAACAGGCATATGGATGCTAGACTCCCCTCTTACATAAGCATTCAGGGTCCCAAGGGGACAGATTTGCTGCTTCCCAGCCACCTCCAGTCCACCTCTGGCAGAGGATCTCAAAACACTTTTCACACTTTGTGAAATCATCATACCTGCCTGGCCACATCTGTTTGTGGGCAAACAGGGAAACTGAGGCAGGGATTTCTGAGCTCTCACTGACCAAGCCCTGTGTGCACCCAAATTCCCTCCAGTCGCCTATAACGGCCCAGGAAGCTTGAATCCTGGCTCTTACCAGCAGATCTCTCTCTCCAGGCACGTTTTTAACAACCGTTATTTACATTTATAAAAAAAATCCCAAAAACCAGAGTGGGCTGCAAAAGCACAAGGTTTCATGCAGAAACAGCCTGCACGAAGACTGCTTTTAGTTCTGTGCTGTGGCAGCAGCATCTTCTCTGATTGTTTTTTCTTGTGGTTTTTTTTCCCCCTCTCTTTAAGAAAGAAAAGCAAGTGCCTATCAAGGCTCAGAAAACCCTGGCATGGGCCTGGCTGGTGCAGGTACGTAAAGGAACAGGGAAGTCTCTGTGCACAAAACACGTAATGGCCTCCATTCGACACGCACAACTATGGCTGCAATTCCTCTCTTGCTTTGGTTCCTTAAACTGCATACTCACACTTTCTCGATTCCTAGATCGTTAAGACTTGCACTATTTGTCTCTCTCTTGACTTGTCTCACATATGAGAGGTGGTTGTGGTCACCTTGCTGCTTTGGTGAGCAAAACTTTCAAGGGGTCTGGACCCACGACAGCCCCAGCCTGTCCTCAGTGATGTATTTTATTATAAATGGTGAAGTTTCAGCTTCTTCAGAAGAAAATTCTAAGAGCTTACACATGCTGTCCTGTACACAGTTTGACTCTATGCTGTTGCCCTGTTTTTCAGGTATCCACAACACAAGGCGAGATTTATACTTTTAGCCAATGTGAGTTTCTGCTCTGTTCCATAGAAGCACTCTGAACTTTTCATGATCTGCAGTTGTGAATCAAGAGCGCCTGGATCACAGCCAGCTTGTTTCTTTCGCCCTCCGTCAATGGAAAGACTACATAATGCTGTTTGCTACTTTGTCAATGAAAATGATTTACTTCCATTCAGCAAACAATTTCTCGCTTTTGTGGTTTCAAACCCCACAGCCCTGGTTTCCCCTGTGTAAGGAAGTATTTGCCTACAAGGAAGAGCTACGCAGGGATCCTTTTACAGACTCCAAAGCACTTCTTAATCCTGCCTCCCCCATTTGATAGCCATCGTTTTGGTACAAGGTACTATCCTAGTTACACAGGGATGTGCCAAGTTAGTCCTACAACTTTTGTGTCCCGATATTGCCTGGCTTCCTGATGTGGAGCCTGCCTTTTTATGTTGTTTCAAGTAGCCCAACAAAATGGCTGCAAGGGGACTAGGAAGGAGAAACGCAGGCCGTAGAAGGAAGTTCATGTCTCTTCATAATTTCTTTTTAGAAAAAGATAGGGATCTGGTACTTTGAACCTGCAAAGAGGACTTACTGGTTGTCACGCTGACATCCATGTGTAGCTATATATGTATGTACATATCTTAGGACTCTGCTGTGCCCTCAGACATCTCTCAAAGGAGCTTCTGCTGAATGTAGTGAACTAGCACTGTGGCAGCTGGGAAGAAATTTGAATCCTTCTAGGATAAGATGAAAAACCTCTAAATAAATAAAATTAAAAAAGCTGCTGAAACCAGGAGCGGGGAATGGTTTTGTTTTTCCAGCCTCCTGGTTTCCTCTCCTAAGCCCCCACTGTGTAATGTGGTTTAATCCAAATGACTCAGTTGACCTAGCTTCCATCACCTGACCAGCCATCAAAACTCATTACATGGTAATGCTGGGTCTCACTGACCACTGCAGGAGTTTTTTCACAAGCCTATCTTGCCATTAAACTATTCTTCCCATGTGTTGCTTGCACACCTGGTAACCACACTGCCTACAGATATGACAGGCTCAGATCAACTTTCTGTTCTCTCGTGAGGTGCATCTTCCCAATTAGTTTTGTCTTTGGTACTGCAATTTTACCTTTGTCCAATTAGTTTTGTCATCTTGTCACCCTGGGGCAGCCAAATCACCTTTTTATTCACATTGCAGTGCTTATTTGGTGTGCGTGGCAGGTTTGAAGTCATTGCTAGCTTAAATGGTCCATGAACATAGTTCATAAAGGGGTGACTTACTGTCCTAGTGTCTCTTCCCAGAGCCCGAGAAGGAGCTGCTGGCTTCATGCTGCTCCCTCAGCACTGCAGCGCAGCCTCCCTTCTCTTTCTCACATGAGTTACCTCTCCTGGTCTTTGCTGCTGCTTCCAGCCATGCAGCCCCTGGGACTTTCCCGGACCCCATGAGAGCACCCTGGCTTGGCTCTGCTGTTGCTAGCTTGGTACCTCTGTCTGTTAGAGTCCGTCTCACTCTTGTTCATGCCTCTTCCCAAGAGCCTTTTAGCTTCCTGTGGGCTAGCTAATTATCCTCTGCAGCTGGCCTAGTCCTCCTAGGCAGTCGGCACCTATTGCCTGCAGCTGGGCTGTAGCCCCCAGCCAGCCTGAGGGGTGCTGTCTGCTGCAATCCTGCCAGCCCACCTGCTACGGTCTGACTTGCAGGACTCTACCTAGGTTTCCTATGTCAAACCTCATCGCTTTTAGTTGTGACTTCACCTGAGTTACTGCTTTGAAATACCTGTTGTATACTGACTTGATCTTTCCTCTCAAAGGAACTGTTGAAATGATTTTGCTTTAAGAGCCAAACATAGAAATGTGACAGTGTATTTAAATACTCTTAAAAAGCAATTTATTTTGGAACAGTTTTGTGAATGTCAAGACTAGAAATACAATATTTATAACCATGTGTAAAGGAAGCCTGCTTGGTGAATCAATTAAATAAAAAAAAAAACTCTGGATGATGGCAAAACATGCTTGCACACATTTCTGTCTTGTACTAGGATGACACAAAGCATTGCTGCTCTGTTTCAAATGAGAGTTTTTAGTAGTTTTAGCTATTCTTTCCTTTTTTAATAAAAGTCCTTAGATCACCCATCATGGTTCCACCAGTACAAAGAGATTCTGAAGTAGCAGTGAGCACGGAAGAAACCTTATAAAAAAATTCGTGGTAACTTTACTTGGGCAAGAGTCCCTTTTTTCAGTATCTTCAAATTAGAAATTTTGTAATAAGTAGGAAGCAGCTCTCTTTAGATCACTTCCCACTTCTGAGCACATGAGATATGTAGGCTCAAAAGAAAGTGTTAATTTCTAAAATATCTGCAGCTTTAATAGAGAAAGGGAGGTATAAGAAGACCAAATTAAGTCTTGGGAAAGAGACTTGGGGAAAGAAATGGAGTTGGAGCAATGGGAAGAAATATGGGAACAGGAGGGTTATTCATCTTCCATACAGGTTTTATACAAAGCCAGGTTTTATAGAGTACTCCACAGATGGTACCCGTCTCCAGGCAGGATGCAACCCATATTTTTGTAATGGTGATGCACTGCGTTGGAGATGCTGTGGAGAAAGAGGCTTCTTTTTCCATGTGTGGCGGTTGTGCCCAGAGCTCCAAATATTTGGTGAGGAAATGACTAGACTAATAACTCTTGTGGGGGCTAATATCCCTCTGAATCCACTAGTTTATCTGTTGAATGCCCCAGTTAAAGGAAGCTTACTTTGTGCAGAACTAAAAGTTGATACCCTTCTTGTTTCCAACCGCTAGATTATCTATTGCCCAAACAGGGAAGGAATCGCAATACCACCCCCAACACACATACACACACACTGAAAGTGCGGCATGCTAAAATATATGACATTGTGGTGATGGAGAAACTGCCCCATCATGCTACATTATCAGAAAGGAGAGACAAGAGAGATCGATATTTAGAAATACGGATTCCATTCCTGACCTACGCACAAGACAAATCAACAGGTGGGAAGCCAGAGTCCTTAGGCAGATTTTTTGACAATTAACATTAGATATATAATCATCTAGTGATGGTAGAGGGGATAATGTATAAAAATTGCCACACATTATTTCCTTTGGAAAGATGAAATCACTTCAAGCTTATACAATTCCGTGTTAGTTTTGTTTTTACAGTTTCCTGAATAAAAGATTAAAAAAAAACCCCCTAAGAAAGTGCAGAGCATTGTAGTCGAGTGGAAATGCAGTGGGAATTTAGACAGAACGCACTTTTCCAAGACACTGCAGCTTTATCAAAAGCTTCACTTCTACTCAATGGGAACTGTAGCACTCTCTCTGCTGGTAATGGATTTCCTATGGGTCAGAAATGGTTTTTTTTCCAGAAGGAGGCATTTTTCCTTGACAGATACGGAGTGGTCCCCCACGGGCTGCAGGAATGCTGCCTTTCAGCAGTGCTCTGGACTGAAGGTGGAAAGCGTTCCTTGCTCTTCATCTCTCCTTTCCACAACTGGATTTCTCATTGATGCTGACACCTGATGCACTGTTCTCTTCGCAGACCGTGTCTTCATTCTCAGGCAGGACATACGTTCTTTTGCTTAAAAGATCTTGGGACCATATTCTATTGCATTCAGTAACTATCATCTGGCACTCCTCACATTTATTTTTAATTCTGACTTGGAAGTGGAGCATCACTCATCGCTGCAGAGATGCGATGAGTATTGATGTACGGTGAGCTCCTGTCTGATGATGGGCAGCAATCTATGGCTGGTGCTTTTTCTCAGTGCAATTTCTGCAGGAGTGGGAGTGCTTTCTCCTGAGCATCACACTGACAGTGAAAGCTTTGTAGCAACATCTTATCTAGCATTGAAATAATTTTTCTATATTGGAGGATGCACAGATACTGACCCAATTGGGATACTATTACAAGAGAAGCTCCAGGTTGTTATGCTTCCATTAAGCTATACAAGAAAGAAAATCCTTGTACTTGGTCGCTGGGGAAACAAAATAGCCAAATTATGGAATGAAGAAGGCTCTGTACGCAGCAGGTTGTTCTTTCAAAAGCTCATGACAAAATATACCAGCCCTAAGTCCTTAATACCTTGTCCTATGATACAGAAAGAGCTTATGTGTGTTCAAAAAGCTAATATTACAAGGAGCAGCTGTTCACGTCCAGCTAAAACCAACTTTAAAGTGCACAGCACTTGTATCTTAGGGTACAGACACACATGGTCAATTGATTTTACTCCAGGGTAGAAGCGGAGCAGACACGACACACAGACCTGCTTCGAGGTAAATAAACCACTTGCATCTAGGCTAAAATAACTCTGGAGAAACATTGCAAACTGGATCCTCCGCTGCCTAGTGGTCAGGCTCAGCAGCTCCTGCACACACCTAGCTTGACAGAACTGCTCGCGTGTCCGCTGCTTCCTAAAGGGGAAAATCCAAAGTAAATGGCTCTGCCCTGTGTTGTGCATCTGCACCCACAGATGCAGAGGGCACCTTGATGCGCTCGCCAGCAGCCAGATATG